TAGCGAGAGCAGGAACACAAGCAGGGGGAGTGGGAGAGGGAGAAGCAGGCTTCCCGCCGAGCAGGGAGCCCGATGTGGGACTCGATCCCAGGATCCTGGGATCATGACCTGAGCCGAAGGCAGATGCTTAACAACTGAGCCACCCAGGCGCCCCAGATTAATTATTCTAACACCAGTGATGTCTTTTGGGAGAAATACCCCAACTTTTATTAATTTTTTTCCAAAGATTTAGAATGTGTGCATGCATGCACATGCACAAGTTGGGGGGGGTGCAGAGGGAGAGGGAGAGAATCTCAGGTGGACTCCCCACTGAGCACAGAGCCCAACGTGGGGCTTGATCCCATGACCCTGAGACCGTGACTAGAGCTGAAATCAAAAGGTGGATGCTCAACCCACCAAGCCACTCAGATGCCCCGAAATTTCCCAACTTTTAATACCTTTTTATCAACAGCTTACTTTCTCTTGAGATGTGTCTTTGTTATGTTCCTAGGATTTCAACAAAATTGAATTCTAGGCCTACTCTGGGTGCCTGTTACAGCATAGGACTTCTACATTTAGAAATAATGCTTAATTGCATTGCAGATGCTTAAAGGGAAGTTTAATCTCCAAATCACTGCTTTTCAGGCTGTATCAGAATTCTCCCTAGATTCTAATTTATGTTTAAGAACCATTGCTCTGTTACTGTTTGGGGAGTCCTGGGTGAATAAAGGAAGCATTGGAGCCAAATGCTGTGTGATCTGCCTTTGGCAAAATGTAAAGAACTCAATGACATGCATGCATTGAGGATACTAATTTCCCTTCTGTCTTTGTTCTTTCTTGACGATGATGCAAAGAATGTGTATTTTGCTGTGTTCCTATAACTCTCTGTCCTGTCAAATCCTTTTTTGGGTAAGGTGAGATATAAACTAATAGCCATAGGCAGTCTTTTAGAAAGACTAAAATATAAGTACTCAAAAAGTTTAATAGCTCTCCCTATTTTAAGTTAACATTGTTATTCAGCATTCTTTGGGATTTTTCTTTTTGCTGAAGTACATTAAAACCTGAATATTATATACGTTGAGCTGTGAAAATTTGCAACATATTTAATATTAAAGTATATTTAATATTTCAAAGGAAGTTATGTGCAAAACAGTGCCTTTTTTTTTTTTTGTCCAAAACAATATTGGGTGATTTTTTTTCTCCTCAATTTTTATTTAAAATTGTTTTTGGCACAGTAAATATTTTTTGAAAGTTAAGGACTTGTTTCTGAGGAGTATTATGTCTTAATCAGCAGAACTATTTAAAATGGTACATTTACTCAGATTTGTTACAATTTTATTATATGTTTTAGCTATTTTTGTGCTCTAAATGTGCTAAAAGTTTATATGGTACCATTGTACTTGTCTTGTGTGTTTATTCTTTGCTTGTTTGAATTACAGATTTCTAGAGGACAGGTACTGTGGACTTCCTCAGTAGGGTGTTGGCCATGTAAAGTATTCATAGTAGATGATTTTGTTGATTAGTACTGGGGACCATGCAGTCTGTTGGGAAACCTTAACTTTCTAGAGAAAAATGTAAAATGTTGGGATTTCTCTATTTTTTCATCTGTAATTGTTTTTAATTTGTTCAACTGAACTCTTAGTACATGTTTGCTTTGTTCTCATTTTAATGTTATGATGCTAATTCCAACTGTTTTCTTCTTTGGCTTTTTAGATATTCCTCTTCGTCAAGTGATTGCTGAGGAGTGTGTTGCTTTTATGCTAAACTGGAGGGAAAATGAATACCTTACACTGCAAGTTCCCGCGTTTCTGCTTCAGAATAATCCATATGTAAAGGTAACTTGTGTTTAAATAAAGGGATTATTAGGTTGGGATCATTGTACCTGTTTCTTTAGATCTTTTTTTTTTTTTTTTTTTAAGGTTTATTTGAGAGAGAGCACGAACAGTGGGGGAGAGGCAGAGGGAGAGAGAAAGGGAGAAGCAGATTCTCTGCTGAGCAAGGAGCCAGATGCAGGGCTTGATCCCAGACCCCTGGGATCATGACCTGAGCTGAAGGCAGGCACTTAACCGATTGAGCCACCCAGGCGTCCCTGTTTCTTTAGATCTGTACTACTTAGGGAACTTGTCCAATTTCTAAAATACAGTGGAAGATTGGACAAATGTTTGTTGGTTTGTGATTAAAAGTATAGTTTTGCGTTCATGAGAATGCAAGCAGAAATTAGTTAACAGACAACATGTTGGTATAACCCTAAGCTAATGAGAGGTTTAGTTAGCTTTTCTTGTTGTATGAACTGGTGGAGCTGGGAGGGGTACACTTCTAGCTGATTTCCATCTGAGCACCTTACCTTCTTTAGAGCCTATTTCCTCCTCTAGATTTGGGCCTGATTCTTGTTTGTGTATGTGGAATTAGACCCCAATGAAAGAATTCCTTCAGTGAATTGGTGCTGAGATGTTTATTCTCGTTTCTTAATTATATCTGTCCTGTGCAACTGGAAATGTTTCTGGGTGGAGAAGACAGAAATAGAGACTGGAGTTTTCCCTAAGACTGTGTCTGTTTTGTGCAAATGTTATGTATACCCTAAATAAGCAGTGGACTTTTCTCCCTTTCTGGTCTTATCGTTAAAATAACATTTAGTGATTTAACATTTTTCTGGTACATTTGGTTTTTCAGATTTCCTCCTTATTGTTTGTATGCTTTTTGTTCTTTATCTGCTCTCATCTTTAGTACATAGTATCTTAAATCAGTGGTTATCTGGGAACTCTTGTAAGACTCTTCTCACTTTTTTTTTTTTTTT